AAAAGGAAAGAAAAGACTCAAATCCATGCAATTAGGAATGAAAAGGGTGAAATCACAACAGATCCTGGAGAAATCCAGAAGACTAGCAATAGCAACTTCAAGAACCTGTATTCTAATAAGATGGAAAACACAAAAGAAATGGACAGATTCCCGGATATGTATGAATTACCAAAGCTGAACCAAAAAGATATAAAAATTCTAAATAAGCCAACATCAGTCAATGAAATTGAAGATATAATTAAAAACCTACCAACAAAGATAAGCCCAGGCCCTGATGGATTCACTGCTGAATTCTACGAGAAATTTAAAGACCTAATGCTGCTACTTCTCACACTCTTTAATGAAATTGAAAGGGAAGCAATACTCCCAAATTCATTCCTGGAAGCAAGAATTACCCTGATTCCAAAACCAGAGAAAGATCCAACCAAAAAAGAGAATTATAGGCCAATCTCTCTAATGAATATAGACACAAAAAATCCTCAAAAGATACTGGCAAACAGAATGCAGCAAATCATCGAGAATGTTAAACACCATGACCAAGTAGGATTCATCCGAGGGATGCAGGGATGGTTCAACATATGCAAATCAATAAATGTAATACGCTATATTAATAGAGCCATGAACAAAAAACATATGATCATCTTAATAGATGCAGAAAGAGCATTTGACAAAATCCAACATTCATACATGATAAAAACTCTATAGAAAACTGGAAGAGATGGTTTTTATCTCAATCTGACAAAAGCCATCTATGACAAACCAACAGCCAACATCATACTAAATGGATGAAAACTGAAAGCTTTTACTCTATAATCAGGAACAAGACAAGGATGTCCACTGTCACCACCCTTATTCAATATAGTTCTGGAAATATTAGCCAGAACAATTAGATGAGAGGAAGAAATAAAAGGAATAAGGATAGAAAAGGAAGTAGTTATCATTATTTGTGGGTGAGATGATACTCTACATAAAAAACCCCAAAAACTCCAACAAAAGACTTCTAGATTTAATAACTAAATTCAGTAGTGCAGCTGGATACAAAGTTGACACTCAGAAATCAATAGCCTTCCTGTAAATAAATAACAAACTCACTGAGAGAGAAATTAGGGAAACAACACATTTCAAGTTAGCATCCAAAAAACTTAAATACCAAGGAACAAATCTAACAAAGGAAGTAAAAGACCTGTACATTGAAAACTACAGTACTCTGAAAAAGGAGATCAAAGAGGATATCAGAAAGATATCCCTGTTCTTGGGTAGAAAAAACCAATAAAGTGAAAATGGCCATATTTCCAAAATTGTTATACAGATTTAATGCAAACTCGATCCAAATTCCAACAGCATATCTCACAGAATTAGAGAATACAATCTTAAAATTCATTTGGAACCAGAAGAGACCTAGAATAACAAAGGCTATTTTGGGCAACAAAGGCAAGGCAGGGGGCATCACAATCCCTGATTTGAAATTATACTACAAAGCTACTATGATAAAAAAACAGCATGGTACTGGCAAAAAAAACAGACCTGAGGATCAATGGAACAGATTAGAAAATACAGAAACAACTCCAGACACACTCAGCCACCTTATCTTTGACAAAGGAGCCAAACACCTTCTCTGGAAGAAAGGTAACCTCTTTAATAAACAGTGCTGGAAAAACTGGCTTTCCACTTGCTGAAGATTAAAACTAGAACCATATCTTTCACCATGCACTAAACTAAAATTGAAATGTATCAAAGATCTAAATATTAAAACAGAAACACAAAATCTGCTGAAAGATAAAATAGGTAGAACTCTTGAAGATGTTAGTGTAGACAAAGACTTTATGAACAAAACCCTGATCGCACAGGAACTATCACAAAGAATCAACTGGGATCTCATCTTATTAAAAAGCTTTTGCACAACAAGCGAAACCACCAACAGAGTGAAGAGACAACCCACATTGTAGGAAAATTTTTGCCAGCTGTTCCTCAGACAAAAGACTACTATCTAGTTTATATAAAGAACTTAACCCCCACCCCAATTTTAAAGACAGTCTAAATGTGGGCATCTGAAATGAACAGACACTTTTCAGATGAAGTAGTAAAGACAGCAACTAAATTTATGAAAAAATGTTCAATACCACCGGTCATTCAAGACATGCACATTAAAACAACACTGAGCTTCCATCTCACTCCAGAAAGAATGGCTGCTATCAAGAAATCAATCAATAACAAATGCTGGTGGACTGTAGGGGAAAAGGAACACTGTTCCACTGTTGGTGGGAGTGTAGACTGGTGCAACCACTGTGAAAATCAGTGGGGGAGATTCCTCAAATAACTAAAACTAGAGGTTCTATTTGACCCAGCTATTCTTGGTATCTTTCCGAAAGAATTAAAAGCATCATACCAGAGCAATATATGCACACCCGTGTTTATGGCGGCACAGAGAGCCTCATCTTCTTGGTCTTTGTGTCTTATGTCCTCAGCGAGGCCCGCCTTGATGTTAGGGGCTAAAGAGTGTCCCCTCACAGACTTACAGCTGAAGTCCTAACCCCACACCAAGTGAGTGGGCAGTGCAGAGTGTATTTGGAGGCAAGGCCTCTGAAGCAGTCAGCTAAGTAGAGGACACCGGGGTGGGCCTTAATCCAGTGTGACTGGCATCCTTATAAAAAGAGGATGTAGCTCAGTGGCAAAGGACATGCCTGGCAAGCATGAGGCCCTGAGATCAATTCCCGGTACCAAAAAAAAAAAAAAAAAAAAGAT